TTAGAGGCAGTCCGGAAGGGAGAAAAAGTAGGGGACACGGATCCTTCGGTGTCAGGAATGCTGTTTGCGGATGATTTTGTCGGTATGTCGAACACCCCTGAGGGACTGCAACTGCAAATTGACGCGGCGAAGAAGTTTACTGATAAGTGGAGATTGTCTGCCAACGTTAAGAAGAGTGCCGTCATGGTATGCAACGAGAACAAGGAGGAACCAGTAGAACATAGATGGAAGTGGGGGATCGACGAGATTGCAGTAGTGGACCAGTACACATACCTCGGAGTAGAGATCGCAAAAGACTGCTCGTGGAATGCACACATGTCCAAGGTAGCGGAAAAGGGCAAAGCACGAGCAGGGAAGCTGCACCCAATACTCGCAAACCGGCACCTCGATACACGCATCAAATTGACGGTTTTGAAGAGCGTAATCGTACCGCCGCTAGAGTACGCCGGAGAAGTATGGGAAGGAAATAAGAAGGTTGTGAAATAACTCGAGGCGGCGCAGATGAAAGCAGCGAAAATCATCCTAGAATGCTCCAAGCGCACAAGTAATGCAGCCGTCAGGGCAGAATTGGGGATCCAATCCCCACGGTCGGAAAGAGACGCGAGGAAGCTGACCTGGCAGTATCGCATGTGCGGGATGGGAGAGGAGAGGTTGCCGAGAATAGTTTGGGAGGCGAAGTGGACAGACAAAAAGAGGGGTAGACAACCCACGGAATGGGTCAAGGTTGCAGAGGACGTATGGAAGGGGCTCGACATCGACGAAGACGAAGCGCTGGACACAGAAAGGTCTACAGGGGTTTAAGGAGAAGATATCTGTTGCTTATGCCTAGAGAGAAGAACATAAATCCAACCGATATCCCTTCCCGCCTTTTCAAATCACTTCCTACTCCCCAGTACCGCTACCGTTCTTTCCTCTCTATTCCATGCCTCAAACATCTCCCTGTACGTCCCATCTATTTTTCCCAGCTCAGTCACGTACACTTCCCTCTCCTTCTTGTACCACTGACATTCCGCGACTACATGACCACAGTCTTCGCATTCGAAGCCGCAATCACATATGAACTTGTCGTCTTCGTCGTCTACCGTCCTATGTCTTTGCAGACGTTCTCGAAGGCCTATGTCCCCGGTCCTGAATTTGACCTTAAGCTTTGTCCCTGCATCCATTGGTCCATGTAGGTAATCCTTGAACCCTATTCCTTCTTTCAACATTCCCTACACTTCTTGCCTTTGGCAAAGTAGAAGAGAACGATTGGCCATCGGCGATCGGTCCTGTGGGAACAATGCTCCGTCCTCTCGAGGACGCCTGGTCAATGATATAACCGCTAAGGCATGCAAAACATAAGAGTACGCCCCCCCCTCATAACGACATAGTGTGCGCTGTCACTGCCGCTGTCATGTTGAAATCCCTTCGAAACAAATCCCTATTTAGGCGCATCACGGCAACGTTGCCCCCCGGCACCGACAACGACTGCAGCGACGGGGGGGTCCGCAGAGACGACGCAGAAGGGGGGGGGAAGGGGGGAGGGGCAGGGGGCGCCGGGCGGTCGCTCCTCCGGGAGATGCACCCTACGCCGGCGGTGTGTGGGACGCCTCGCGACGTGACGTACTCCGTGATCGGGGAAGTTGAAGGCTTCGACAGGTTCGCTCGCTGTTTCTGTCTGGTGCTGTACTGCTGTAGCTCCTGCGGGATTCCTGTTTCACGCTGACTCCCCCCTCAGGGTTCGATATGGCACCAAGCATTACGTTGCTGCTGTGCGTCACCAGGCAGCGTTTTGATGGATAAGTATGCGTGGCGCCCAGAGGAGAGATAGGACAAGAAAAACAAAATCTCCATAAGCTTACGCGAGTTAACTCATCTCGTGGTGCTGTAGTCGGTTGCTCTTATTTGTGGTGTTTCCTCATAGCAATCCACACGACCCACGCCTCTTCTGTACTTGTTTCTCGAAGGGGTACCTAGGCCGGTCCGGTTATATATACTCTCCCTCCTACAATCATCACACCCCCCTCCCCCCGCCCCACG